AGGAAGGTTTGTTTTTCATAAATACACCATACTTGAATATTTATTTATTTATTGAAGTGTTGGGGATTGAACCCAGGGCTTCCTTCATGTAAAGTAAGAAACCTACCATGGAACCACATCACCAGGCCCTCAAAAGGTTTCTACTAATATCCACTCAATATTTTTTTGCCAGTATCTTGTACTTTGATTAACTGTTTCAACAATAACAATATGCAATGTTTTATCTATTCTTATTCTCCTATTACTTTACACTTGATCCTAACCAAAAGGCCAAGAAGTGATGTCTCCTATTATTTTGTTGTGGAATTTTGTTTTACATTATTTTTCCATGAAATAAAAAGTAATAACTAAAAAACAGCCAGCAGAGAAAAACAAAAATAATGGTACACTAATTAGAGTTACAGCACAGTGTGTTAGGAAATCACACTCCTAAACCTCAACACAAAACTTGATGACCAGAAGAGCCTGTAGTGGACTATTTCTAGCATTAATAGCAAATAACATCCAACAAAGATTAACATACTCAACAATATTTTCCTTCAGAATAGATGGAATAAAATGGCATTTCACAAAATAACACCAGCTCAAGAGATATATGTCTATGAAACCAGCAATCCAAAACTATGAAAGAATATTATAGAAAGAAAAGATGAAACCAAAAAAGCTAAAAATCCAGATGAAATGGAATCACCAGGCAATGTCAATGGATAAACATGAAAAAAACAACAAGAATATAAAATATCAGTCACTAACAGGGAAACAATAGAATGATAGTAAATAATAAGCGTATGTGAGAAATATATGTCAGAAATATATTTCAATGTTGGTGACCTGAATTGTCCAATTAAAAGAAACTGCTTCCAAGATTGTGCTAAAAAACAGGATCTAATGTTTTGTTGAATTAAAAAAAATCATCTAACCCAAAAATATATTCATAGACTAAAAATCAAGGAGGAAAACAACATTACAATAGACCAGGATCCCCAAAATTATCAAGAGTTTTGATTTTTAACAGATATGTTAAACTTCATGCTAAAACTGATTGTAAGAAAGAAGTCAATGCATAGTGCTTAATGGGAAAATCCAACAAAAAGAAATAATGCATACAAACACTTATACACAGAATACTGGACCACTTATTTTCAGGTAATAAATACTGCTGATCATAAAAGATCAAAACAGTACTAATAAAATTATAAGATGGTATTTAAAACATCACTTTAAAAAGGATAGATCAACTAAATATAAAAGCAATAAAGAAATATCAGAGATGAACCATAAACTTGAACAAAGTATTTAATAGACATTTACAGAAATTCCACCTATCCCATCAGGATATGCATTATTTTCTACAAGCACACTGTACTTTTTCCAAAATAGATCACATACTAGACCACAAACCCTGCTTAAATAAATACAAGATATTCAATTCACCCCAGGTGTGCTATCAGACCACTGTATAATGAAATTAGAAATCAACAATAAAAGAAATTTCAGAAAATTAGAAGCATATGGAAAGTTTCTAACACACTCTGAAATAAACAGTGGGCCACAAAAGAAATCAAGAAAGAATTTAAAAAATTTCTTGAAGTTAATGACATTACCTGTACTACTCAGTGGAACCTATGGGACCCTATGAAAGCAGTTCCAATCAAAATATTAACAAAATACTTTGAAGACCTGGAGAAAACAAGCCTAAAATTTACATTGAACCAGAAGAGACAAAGAATATCAAAAGAAATCACACAATAAAAGCAAAGCAGAAGGCATCACATTACCTGACCTCAAGCTATATTAAAAACAATAGCAATAAAAACAGCATGGTTCTGGAACAAAAACAGTCATGTAGATAAATAGAACAGAATAGAGGCTATAGAAACATTTTACAGACACATTCAGCTATTTAATTTTTGATCAAGTGGCCAAAAATAATACATTGAATTAGAGATAGCTTATTCAACAAAAGAGGCTTTGAAAATTTGTATCTTTTTGCAGAAGATTGAAACTGGACCGACACCTCTTACTGTATATCAAACTAAAATCAAAATGCATCAGCAATCTCACTCTCAAACAGAAATATTGAACCTAGTATAAGATAAAATGGGTAAAACACCTCAAGTCATAGGTGTAAGAAAAGATTTCCTAAGCAGAACCACAGTTGCACATGAAGTAACAGCAAGAATGAACAACTGGGATTACATCAAATTAAAAAGCTCTGCACAACAAATGAATCAACTAGTAAACAGACAAACTACAGAATGGGCAAAAGTTTGCCAGGTATTCCTCAGTCAGAAAGGCCTTATATCTAGAATATATAGAGAATCCATGAAAACTAAACCACTTAGAATAAAAGACCCAGTCAAGAAATTGGCAAGTTAAATCAATAAGACACTTCTCAGAAAAAGACATGCAAATGATCTCCAAATATACAGAAAAAATATTCAGTATTCCTGGCTATTACAGAAATGTAATTTAAAACAAAACTAATATTCCATCTTATACCAGAAAGAATGGAAAACATCAGGAAATTTATAAAACATATCCAATATTAGTGTTTCTGCAAGAAGGGGGATAGATTTCTTGCAAATGAAAAGATGTCCAAGAGAACATGTGTGAAAGGAGAAAGGGTGAGGAAGGGAACATAAGTAGAATAAAGTTATGCCATGAACAGGAAACTGATAATCTCAATGAATATAAATATGATTTATCATAAACATGAGAGAAAATTAATCATATCAAAACATGAAAATGGGGGAGGGATGGAACAGGTAGGAAAGGGGAAAGGGAGAAATAAAATATAGATTGTATACATATTCCCACTCACAAAGATGATTGCAAACTGCATGTACTGCAAACATGTACTAATAAAAAGATTTTTTAAAAAGGAATTGTTACACTAATTCTTTTTGTTTTACTTTGTGCTTGTATTTTTTTTCTTTTTCTTGTTAATACATTCTTGGGATGCATAATGAATACATTCATTGTGGGTAGTTGGTATATATACATAGTACATTTTAATTATTTTATATCCCCCTCCCCATCCCCAAATTTCTTAATCCCATTTCCATTTTCCAAGGAACTATCTCCCTATTTTCTACTATTTATTCTGGTCTTTTATTGCACAAATTTAAAAATTTAGTTTTTCATCTTATATGAGAAACTTAAGTATAAATAAAACAAGTACCTTTTGGTTCCCACCTCAACTTAGGTGAAGAGGGAAGACTTAAGACCCTGGAGATGTATTTTCCTCTTTCCTCACATCAAGGGTTAGAGAGAGTTGGATTTTAGTATAATGCCCCACCACACACACATACATCAGTTAGACGCTGCTAAAATCAAACAGTTTAAACTCAGTAAAATAGTTTGCTTCATGAGTAGGCCTTCGTTAAGGAGAATGGAGCACTGGAAGTATCAAGACAGTTAGTTATACTTTACCCCTTTTATACACATGAAGGGCATTTCTCATATCTTCACCTGCAGAATTTGGTAGCTCTTCCAGAGCTAAAATTCATGAAGGTGTAGGTCTCAAATAGGATTGGCCCCCAGGAGTCCTTATCTGTCAAGCTAGATCCACAGTAAGCCTGCTTTGATTAATAAAGTGCCATTTAAATCCTCCTACTAAGGGCCCAGCAGCAGATTTACTCTTCACAAGATATGTTAATCTGTCCTTGTCTGTTTCTCCAGTTTTTGGCATGGTGGTGCCCAGTAAACACAAACTCTGATGGATACAAAAACACAAACTCTGATGGATAGCGATTTTCAAGATATTCAAATTTTCTTCCTTCTTCAAAGATGAGAGTAATGACTGTGAAAAAAACTGTGTGTGTGTATGTATGTGTGTGTGTGTTTGCAAGTGTGTGTTACTGGGGATTGAACCCAGAATTTGAACGGAGCTACATTTCCAGCCTTTTAAATTTATTTACTTACATACTTACTAATATTTTGAGACAGAGGCATGCTAAATCACAAAGTTGCCCAGGCAGGGCTTAGTCTTGTGATCATTCCTCCTCAGCCTCACAGGGTGCTGAGATGACATACATGTAGAATCATGTGCAGCACATACTGAAGTATCTTTACATGTCAGACTGGACACTAGACTTCAAAGCAGAAACCAGAAATCGTGTGTGTCACCCTCCTTTATGTCAGAAATCTAATGAAAGCAGTCCTTTTTATTGTCCTTTTCAAAATATTTATAACTTTTCTGGCATTCCTTTTGTTTGCCTTTGCTTAAGAATTTGTGTTGTATAGATATTTTCCCCTGAGACTATAAACTCTTTAAGGGAAGACATTATAACTGATGAATCATATTAAGATTTAGAACACAATATTAAAATATTTCAGAGTCCCTCAGTTGATTTAACCTGAGGAAAGTCTTGGGAAAGAAGTAATGCAACTCTTCTCTTGTACTTTCTCTTTTTTTAAAAAAAAAAGGATTTTAGCCAAGAAATATATTTAAAAAACTGTTTTGCTGAACAAACATTATTTACACATTGACGTTCCTAAAGCATCACTAAGTTTATATAAATTAATGTTAGTTTTATTATTAAGCAATAATAATGATCACAATTTATAATAGTAATTTATAATACTATATGCAATTCACTATTTTTCTTTTATCCTTTTCAAACCTTAAAATAATGTTAATTAAGTTTATATTTACCTTTGCACTATATCTGTGGAAACTACATTTTGGAAAAATGTAGGTGACTTCTCCCAAGTCAGTGATCTATATTTCAAATGCAAGTGTATAAGATTTTATCTAACTTAATTACTCTTGTATGTCATCTCACACGAAGTTTCAAATTTCTTGGTCTCCCAAGTTACCACCACTATATAAAGTCGCATATTGTCAAGCGAGTCCTTCTTTAGCTCCCCTTCTTGTTTCAGATTATTCAGGTTTACCAATGAGAACTAGATTAAACTCTGCCCCCCCCCCCGGGGTATTTGGGGAATCTGTATTTTTCTCAGCAAATATATTTTGGGGAGTATAGTATACATACGATTGGTTAACAAGTGGCTCTGCTGAAGTGGACTGAGGGTAGGCGTGCCCCCAAGACCTGGCTGTGCACTTAAGTCTGCATGAGCAATTCCATTTTGAGGTCCGGAAGCAGCAAAAGAAGATTGTATCTTATCTTTAATCCATGAGGATTCACTTGCACCTGAAAAATACATATATTCATAGGAAGAGAATGCAATTTGACAATTTCCATTTGAAGACTTCAAATTCCTTTTTAAAAATTGTAATCTTTAATACTACCTTCTAGAAAATTATTATTGAATATGTGTACCTCATTTTATGATGGTTTTGGAAGATTTCAATAACCTAGGGAGTTAAGTGACCATTGGGAAGATGTTTTAACTAGTATGATGGACCCACTACTCTTACTGGTTGTCACAACAAACCTGGCATCAGAATGAACAACATGTGGAAGCACTTACATATTAAAGGCAATTAAATGACCCTACTGACTTTCACTCCATATCTCTAACATACATATGCTATATTTTAAGGAACAGTTTCTGTTCACACAAAAAATCACATTCATTTATATGAACACAATAGCACCCAAAATACATAATATGGATTAGAATTATCACTTATTTTCAGCTTCAACTTTCAAAGAAGAAAAGCTTTTCATACATAAGAGCCCTTTTATCCATCCCAAAGATGGATAAAAGCTGAAACCATGGCTTCTGATTTGAACTGTACTTTTCTTTAAAGGCCTATGCTGCAGAGTGTATTATTTTGATCTAAAGTGTCATAAGTATTTTCTCTGTCACTTAGCATACTGGAAAGACTAAACCATTTCTTAAAACTATAAGAAACAAGTATAGAATGATATCAAGGCCAATTTTTAAAGGAAAATATTTCAAACTGAGTGGAAAAGGGTTGAATTTCAACCACTGCAATACTAGTCAGGCTTTAGAAAATAGAATGTTTTTGTGGGAAAACACATATGTTTGCTTGATGTGCATTACTCATTTAGGGATCAGTGGTCCTATTCCCATTCCACAGACTCGCAGAGTAGAATTTAAAAAAAAAAAAGCAACAGTCTGTTGCATTGAAGAAACTCATCTAATTCAAAAAGATATCTATAGACTAAAAATTAAAGGATGGAAAACAATATTTCATGTACCAGGATCCCCAAAACAAGCAGAGGCAACAATTCTAGTAACAGATAAAGTAAAGTTCAAGTTAAAACTAATCAGAAGACATAAACCAAGTCACTATACACTAATTAATGGAACAATCCAACAAAAAGAGATAACATTGATAAACATATATGCACTGAATACTGAAGCACCTATCATCACAGAACAAAAACTGCTAAAATTAAGAGATTAACTAAATTCAAATACAAAAATAGTAAGGAATTTAACACCCCATTTTTATAAAGAGATAGTTCAACTAAGAAAAAGAAATATCAGTGCTAAAGCACACCCTGGAACATATGGACTTAATAAATATATACAAAGTATTCCATCCCTCTACAACAGAGTATACTTTTTTTGCAGCACAACATGGAACTTTTTTCAAAAATAAGTCACATACTGGTCAAGAAGGCCTTCTTAAGTAAATGTAAAGCTAGTTAAATTATGCCATGCATACTACCAGACCACTGTGCAATGAAAATACAAATCAATGACAGAAGAAATTTTAGAAAAGTTAAAAGTTTCTGGAAAATTAATATCAATCTCCTAAACAAATAATGGGGAACAAAAGAAGTCAAAGAAGGGGTTAAAAAATTTCTGGAAGCTAATAATGATGGTATAACTCACTAAATCCTCAAGGACACTGTGAAAACAATTCTAAGAGGAAAACTCATCACAGATAATGCTCAAATTAGGAAAACTGAGCAAACAGAAATAAATAACCTTATAAGCAGTCTTAAGATACTTAAGAAATAACAACAGATGAGCCAAAAAGTAAAATTAAGGGAAAAAATTATAAATCTCAGAGCAGAAATTCAGTTAAAGAAATAGTTAAAAAATCAATGAATTAAAAAACCAGTTCTTTGAAATAACAAATATAATAGATTAGCCTTTAGGCAGACTCACAAAGCAAAAGAGAAAAGACTCACATAATGAAATTAGAAGTGAAAATGTGAACTCACAACACACATTGCAAAAATCTAGAATTTAGTTTGAAACTACTTTGAAATATTATATTCCAGGAAACTGGCAAATTTGAAGAAATGGACAGATTTTTAGTCACATACAAATTATGAAAACTAACCCAAGAAGATAGAAATATATTTAATGTGTGCAATAAAATTGACACACTAAAATAAAGTCCAGGAACTCATGGATTCACTGACAAATTTTACAAAGTCTTTAAGGATGTCATACTACCAATACTCCTCAATCTCCTCAAAGAAATAGAAAGGGATAAAGTGCTCCCAAATTCACCTATGAAAGCCAGTACCACCTTGATCCCACAACCAAAGAAAGGCCTAACCTGAAAAGAATACTATAGACCAGTTTACATAATGAACATATGTGTAAGATAACCAGTACAATATTGGCAAATATAATGCAACACCATATCAAAACCATCATATATCATCATCAAGTAGGTATCATCTCACAGATGCAAGGATGGTTGAACATTCATAAGATAATAAATGTAACATATCACATAAATAGAAGCAAGGTCAAAGATACACAAAAGTCCTTTTACAAAATCCAACAGTTCTTCATGATATAAAGCCTGAGGAAAACAGTTGTAGAGGGACCATATCTAGATATGACAAAAACTATTGATAAAAAAAGCATTGTACTAAATGGGGAAAAATAAAATCATTCTCCCTAAAATCAGGAACAAGGATGATCACTACCACCTCTCTTATTTAACCTAGTACTTGAAACATTAGCCACAGCAATTAGGCAAGACACAAATTGAAGGGATACACATAGGGAGAAAAGAATTGAAATTATCATTTGCAGATGACATGATACTCTACTTAGAAAATCCAAAGACCTTCAGCCAAAAATATTTTGAATTAATAACCAACTTTAGCAACATAGCAGAAAACGACATCAACACATACACACACTCATAAAGTTATTAACAATTGTGTACAGCAATATGGAACTGGAGTTTTCTCCGGAACCGGGAACCGAACTCACGACCTTGCGCTTGCCAATATATGGAACTGGATGAGAATGAAATTATGAAAACAATCTCCTTCGTAGTAGCTTTAAGAAAAATGAAATAGCTAGGAATTAATCTAACCAAGGTATTGAAAGTAGAAAAAAGATGTACCATTGACAGGAAAATAAAAGCCTCAATTAATGTGAACATTATATGCTATAACATTAGATATGTTGAATAATAATAAAAAAGAATGAAAAATGGGATAGGGGAATTGGAGAAGGAGGAAATAGGGGAAAGGAAGGGAAAAGGGATTATAAAAAAGGAAACAAACTGTAGTATATATATGTAACCACTCCCTACAATGATTGCAAATTGCATGAACTACAAACATATACTAATAAAATAAAAATTTTTAAAGTCTAAATTCTATGTTACTAATTTAATGTAATATAATTTATTTTAAAATTTGTCACTATTATAAATTACATTGCAACAAAAGCATTCCTGTGTATTCTTTCTCTATAATCAACTAATTTCCTGGCATGGGATTTATGGATCAAAAAGCCAAATGTTTTTATGCTTTTGCTTGCAAATACTGCATTTGTAAAAGAAACCTTCAGTGTTATACAATTTTCCGCAAAATGTTTTCAGGGCTAGTTAGTTTTTCCCTCAAATTTTAAAATGTATTTAAACATATAGCCTTCTAGTATATCTGAGAGGATTTGTTAACCTGTCTACCCATTCAACCAATCATCCATCAGGTCTGAGAATTTTCCTGCTTGGAAGTCTTTCAACTTCCTTTGTGGTTAAAGTTAATCTGAAATCCAAAAGTACGTACTCCATTGTCTCAACAGTATATAAAGATTGAGGAGTACCTGGCCCTACCCATATAGATATTTTTCTTTTCCAATGAAAGGGAGAAGAAATAAGCAGCTAGTTGGTCATTCCTACTATATCCATTCAGTTAATCCACATGGAAGCTTATTTATAAGATAGGAAATTTGATGGAATTAGATGTGTTTAATGGATTTGAATTCATCCTTTGGATCTTGCTGACATTTGGTATGGTAACTGAGAACTTACAACACTCTTATGATTACACAAATTGCATCAATTTTCATCCTGATGTTTGATGTTGCACAGTCACTGCCCAAGATCAAGAAGGTAATTTATGTTTTGGTGCATTGATATAATTTAGCATTCACAAATTTGAAATCTCAAATAAAATCGATAGGACATTGTTGTGCTGAAATGAAGAGTGATGATTGGGGAAGGGGAATATCCTATATAAATGACGAAAATAATCACACCGTGACAATGAGAATTCTTTATAGTAATATTGGGCCAATAAACATGACTAATACCAGAAAATGCAAAAATTTTAAAAGATCGATTACTGAGCAAAAATGGAACAACTTTATCATTTTATCATTATATTTGGGATACAAATTACCTCACCATTGCAGAACTGTAATTTTAAAATGATGCACAAAAAATTGACAAAGTTAAATTTAGAAGACAATTATACCACATGATATTGATATGGTGTTGCCTCATCAAAGAAGAAGCAACACAACAATCATAAGGTTGAGACTATGACAATATTTACTTTATAATTTGAAAAGCTTTTCATCTGCATTCAATATTAAATGGTACATTAAAGCATTATTTCTAATATTTTGTGCACCATATATCCCTAATGAACATGAATAGAAATGTTTTAAAATATCATTGCAAAACTCCAAAGTATATGTCTATTTATTTGGATGAGGGTTTTGTATTAACCTTTTGCAACAACTTTCATTTTGTTTATTATTGTGCTATTGATAGAATCAAAGGTAGCTTCCACCTCTTTTCATCTTCACTGAGCATAGATATAAAACACCATCCTGTGCCCTAAAGGCAAGTTTTATGAAGCAAGTGACCGAGGAGTATGTGACAGTCTTGATATTTGGATTAGTTTGTGTTAATGTACTGGACATATATTTGCTGTTTGACCTAACACTCTTACAATTTTATGTAAATATGAATTGACCTTTGATTCCATCTTGAGTTCCTCAT